CCATCCCTTACTCTCACAGGCATCAGCTCACAGAGTAACCAGAACTGTGGGAGGTGGGGGTACAAATGCTGGGGGAGGGGTGTAAAGGGGGCTCTGACACAGGCTATGATGTGAGCACGGCTAGGCCCTTCCCTCTGCCTATAACCCTCCAGGCCCACGGGCACTTCTGTGTTCCTCTAACTGCCCAACTCTTCACTGCCTTTGCACAAGCTGATCCTCTGCCTGGATTATGCTGTCCAGCTTCTAGAGTGGCTGCTCTAACTTATCCTTCAAATCTCAGCTTAGATGACATCATTTCAAAGATACCATGCCTGCACGCACTAAGTAGGAATTTTTCTGTCCTCATCCCCTAGTAGTCCTATTCATATGTTTACTGACCACCTCTCGTGTTTCATAAACAGGTCTACATGCTGGGGATGCAGCAATGAATGAAACAGACAAAAGTCTTTCCCTTCATGGAGTACACATCCTAATGGCAGACAGGGACCATAAGTAAGATAAATCAGTAAAATATACAGTATCTCAGATACTGCAGAAAAGGATGGGTAGTGTGGGGGAGGGGAGGTTGAAATTTAACCAGGGCGGCCACAGAAGGCTTCCTTGAGGTGACAGGTGACACTGTCTAGGCATAAGAAATAGTCAGTGCAAAGGTTGGAGTGTACCTGGCCTGTTTGAGGAACAGCAGGAAGGTGATGTGGCTCGAGCTGAGTGAGCAACAAGGCGGGTAGGGGCTTATGAGGTCAGGGGAGAATGGAGGGGTCCTTCCAGGTAAGGTAAGGACTGGCTTTTTACTCTGAGTGAGCTGGGGGCCACTGGGGATTCTGAGCAGGAGTCCTGAAATCTGACTTACATTTTAACAGGTGCTAGCTGCTGTGATTCTGTTTCCCTCATGCTTATCAGTTTTTCTAATTTTTAATATTTGTTTTCTATCTCTTCTTTGTCGTTCTCCCCCATTAGTATGCAGTAAACAACCCAAGGACAGAAACTGTCTGGCTTGTTTACCTATCCTCACACTTAGCCCAGTGCCAGGCACACAGCAGGGTCTGAAATAAATACTGAATGAACGAATGTTGGATGGATGAAGGTTCTGTCCTCAGTGTCTCAACATCCAGCCACCCACCCAGCCCTTAAAGATCAGACCACACAGAAGCAGTCTCAACAGCTGGCTATAATGAAATTAGGTCATTCCACTCTCAATATGCTTAAGACCCCAAAAGCAATTAGGGTGTGTTAAAAGGATGTGTAACCCAAGTCTATTCCTCTACAGAGCTCAGTTGTAACTAATGTTTTCACAGTTGAAAATGGGCACTGAATGGCTGGTTTTAAAGCTTTTGAGAGCTGACTTCCAAATCTACCATCTTCAAGCTCAACTCCACAGAGGAGACGGTAACCGGGGGGATCAGACTAAGGCATCTTGACTGACGATAAACTCTGAGCATTCTGGAGTCAACCAGCCATACTCTTATATTAACTAGAAGAGGTCTCCCAACTTCAGGGAGACTGTCTGAATGAAGGCCAAGCCCAAGGTCAAACCCAAGGCTAAAAACCCAAAAAGCATGAGGCTCAGGAGTCTAGAACCCCAGACAAGTTACCCCTCAGCTCCATTAAATAACAGGAGACAATCCAAGAACAAGGGGTTGGGAAAGGAAAGGTGGCCACAGCAGGTAGGAGAGGGGCTCTCCAGGGGCCTCCACAACGTAACAGGTACAACCATACCACAACGGTAAATGAGAATTACAATGTCACATACCTGAGGGGTTTGTGACCTAAAACATGTCAATACATACAAAGCCCTCAGCAGTGTCCAGCCACTTAGTACTTGATGAATATTAGTCACTATTCCTACTACACAGGGAGACCAGGTTACCACCAGCACCTTCCCAACTTCCAGGTCTCTGGAGGCCCTGAAGCATGCTGGTGGTTGGCTGGGTGGTAGCAATAGTAGTTTGATAATAGTTAATCCCATCACTGCTCAGATTTCTCCCTATCCACTGGGGTGACATGAGGATAGATGACAGGCGATCATCTGGAAAGTGCTTTGAATTTCTTAGGAGTTGAGGAATCCTGACAATTCATTCATCTGTTCATTTACTCAACACTTAGTGAGCACCTACTGTGTGCCAGACATTTTACTAGGTGCTGGAGACACAGACAGTTAGGACAAATCCTCTCCAAGGATTAAGGGCCATTTACTTAGAAGAGAGCCAAGTAAACAGACAATGACAACCCATTATGATCAGTGCCACAGGACATTGAAGAAGGGCATCTAGTTCAGGCCTGCAAGGTGGGGGTAATGATCAGATGGGAGGCACCAAGAAGTGGTCCAGCAAAGGGAGGATGGTAACAGGAAATGGTGTTCAGGCAGCGGGAACAGTAAAAAGCAACGCCACGAGGTATAAAGAGTTGGAGCTTTGCAGAAAAGCAGCTGAGTTTGATTGGAGCTCGGGAGGAGGTTGGGAGGTGGAAGCATAGAGTAGGCGATAAGGCAGAAGAGCCAAGCAGAGGTCAGTGTCCAAAAGGCCTTGGATGCCATGCTAAGGAATGTGAATTTTAGCCTGAGGGCAAGGAGGAACCACTAGTGGATATGCCAGCAGGATTTTAAAAAAAGGATCCCCCAACTGCTCGAGTGATATTTTCTCTCTGGAGCTATTTGTTTCTCTCTGTGTGAAGAGAAAAAGAACACAAAAACCATTTCTGGGTTGTGATAATTTATCAGTGACCTATCTTAGGCAAAAAGACATGCTGAGAAAAAGAAACGTCTTCAAATAACAGATGCCCCCTCAGCTTTTAGAAATACACCAAAGTGCAAAACCCATACCCAAGCCATGTTTGCACACTGTCAGCACCTCAGGCTTTAGTGCCAGGCGTAGGGGTTTTCTGGGAAGTGAGCAATTAGGACATGCAACAGTTTCAGAGGATGACTAGAAAAAGATGAAATTCTAAGCCCAAAGCCAGCAGGAACAACAGACTGAACTTATTCTGAAAAACTTTTAGGAAGTGAAACAAAAGGGTAGGAGAAGTCCTGTGTATATCAAGTCTTTGTTTGCAAAAGGAAGTAACACCCCACAAACCAGAGGTGACAGCCTTCCTCAAGACACAGGCCCCCAGCTGGCATCAACTGCCTAGGGTGAAGGGCACCCACTACAATAACAGGCTCTATACAAATTTCCTCATCTAACCCCAACATGCACAAGCGCTGGGGGTGGGGGAAGGAAAGTGGTGACCAGGATTATTTTAGAGCTGAGGTTGGAACCCAGGGCTGACTGATGGGGAGTTGGGAGTGCTTCTGCCATTACACCTCTGCTCAACCCACACTCACAGATAATCTCTACATTACTTCTGAGGGATCTGATGCTTTGAGAGCTAGTGAAGCTGCTCTTCATGATTTTCTAACAGATCAGAGGAGCCTGGTGGGCTCAACTCAGGACACGGAGTCAGATGCTCTGAGCTCTGCTCATGTTCCTACATCTGTGACAAGTTGCTCTATCTCAAATCCTCTCTTGGAAGGATAGGGATAAGGTGACAATATTAAGTTTCTGTGAATTCAGTGGAACTAGGAGAATGGAACCATGGAGTCTTTTTTTTTTTTAAAAAAAGTATTACAGTAATATTTACATCACAGCTTTCTTCAGAAGCAGGTGGAAACCTTCATGGGTTCATTAAGTCGTACAATACCCAGGAGTGGGTAGGAAGGCAGCAGGTTTTTCTCATGCTACTGTCAGGGAAATTGAGACAGAACCAGAGCAAGCGAAGTGTCTGTAAAGGAAGAAGGCTCAGGCTCCCAGAGCCTAGTTCTCAGACCACCAAACCACCTCACCATCTCCCAGGGAAGATGTGCTTTCCACAACCAAGAAGCTACGGGGCCTGCACTTTTCTCAGAGAGACACAGACCCTTCTTTTGAGAATGTTCTTCAAGAACTAGGGATGTAGTTCCTCTCTTTATTCCAAAACGAGTCCAACTCAGCCACTCTCAAAGAGAGGTTCTGAATAGTCTTAGAGTCATGGATAGTCCTGTTTTGTGTCTCACAGTTCCCAATAGTGAGGAAAAACTTTCACTTGACTTGAAAGGTTATCACAGCAATAGTCTGAAGGGCTGTTTCATCCTAAAGAAGGTGAATCAAATGCCCCTTATGAAGATTAGATGAGAAGCAACAAGGCTACATCTTTACATAGACGCAAATAAATATAATGATAACTTAAGATGTTAAATAGCCCGTACACCCTAACCTTGCTCCTGTCTCTCTTTTCTCTGCACTTCGTGGGTCCCTGAAAACTTTAGTAGGAACCCTGACTCTGCCTATACTACCTGATTGACATTGCATGTGTAATTTAACCTCTCTGTGCCTCAATTTACTCACTGATAAAATGGGGATAACAACACTAGCTACCTGACAAGTTGTTAAGTTTATACGCTGAACTGTAAGTAAAGAACTTAGCACAGTGCCTCATACACAGTAGGGGCTCAATAACCAGTAGCGAGTATTTGCATCAGTATTTTTGGATTACAGGTGCCCTCAGTTACCCTGTCTGAGACACCAACGGACAGACCAAGCCCAAGCCTACCATGGAGGAGGCGGCTGTTTCTTGATTTTTTTTTTTTCCTTTTCGAACCTTGGCTCTTAAGAGATAAGGCCCCGAACGACCAGGAGGCCTCAGAATGGCCATGGGGGTGAGTGTAAAGGAAGATACTAGGACCCGAAGAGGAGTTTCCCTTCTGGCCAGGAGCAGGCTCTGCGGGGCCTAAGTCTAGAAGTCTCTCTGGGAGGACACCCCAGGAGGAGCTGCAGACCTGGAGCGGCTGGAGTGCAGGCCCGCGGCCAAGTAAGCTCGAATGAATGAACCCGCAGTCCTTCCGTCTCGTTAGGGCCTGGGAACCCACTCTCGCCCCTCTTGGGAGCTCTGTCGTCTCCGTGACCTATGACCCCGCAAACCCCTTACCCCAGACCCCCGACTCCCCGCCCATTTATTCTCCGGCCTCCCCGGACTCCCCGCTTCCTCACCCGCAGGTCCGAACGGCTCCTGGCACCACAGCGCGGCTCGGCTGGGCAGCAAAATGTCCGCGGCCTCGTCCTCCCGCTCTCCCGGTGCGTCCGTGCCGCCAGCTGCTCGGAGCCCCACGGCTGTCACCTGCCCAGCGGAAGTGAGCTGCCTGCGCGCGGGCACTTCCGGTGGACGCACAGCCTGGGGGCGGGGTCAAAGGTGCAACCCTGGCGGGGGTGGGGGTGCCCGCGGGGCGGGGCCAGAGGGGCGGAGCCGACCGAATTAACCCCTTCTCAGCCGCGGTGGGAATTCGCCAATGTCACCCGCAGAGCGCTTAGAAAAATTAGCCCCCTAACGGCTAAGTAAATTAACATGCATGGAAAAAATGGTAGTGACTTTGAAGTCCATCTCTTCCTTCTGTGTTGCAGAAGGGAAAACTGAGGCTCTGAGAGGGGCAGGGTTTTGCTCAAGATCACTTACCTCTTCAATAGAAGAGTCAAAACTAGAGGTGCAAGTCTAGTTTAGCGCTTGCTGCCCTTCAGTGCAGCCCTTTGGGAATCCTGCGTTGTAGAGGAAAAACATTAAATTCTCCGAGGAACTTTTATCCAAGGAGAACTTCATAATGTCCCATTTCCCCTTTTGCTGGGTCTGCCAGGACTTTGATTCCTATAGCCACTTCACTACAGACTCGTACTATTAACTTTCTTCTCCTTATAGTTTCTTTCCTTTTTCTTTCTTTCTTTCTTTCTTTCTTTCTTTCTTTCTTTCTTTCTTTCTTTCTTTCTTTCTTTCTTTCTTTCTTTCATTCTTTCTTCTTTCTTTCTCTCTCTCTCTCTCTCTCTCTCTCTCTCTCTTCTTTCCTTTCTTTCGTTTTAGGAACAGAATTTAATAGTCAGGGCTAGAGCAATTAACCAAGAAAACATTTTAAGTGAATATCTTTTGGGTTTGTTATTTACATATTAATTCCAGGAAGATAAAATGCTGTTATAGAATGAGAGCATCACATTTTAACATTTTAATTACACCATTATGGGCATAAAAGACTATAATTAGCAAAAAAAGGCCCTATTAAACAGAAGTACATATTTCTAATTGTCTTTTAAAATTTTTTATCATTTTTATTTTTTCTAAAATATTTTTAAATTTTATTTTTCAACTAAAGTTGACATTCAATATTATTTTGTATTAGTTTTAGGTGTACAGCATAGTGATAACACACTTATATAATTTATGAAGTGATCCTCCCAATTAGTCTAGTAACCACCTGGCACCATACATAGTTATAGCAATATTATTGACTATATTTCCTATGCTGTACTTCACATCTCTGTGACTGTTTTGTAACTACCAATTTGTACTCTTAATCCCTTCACCTTTTTCACCAACCCCCCCAACTGCCCTCCCATCCTTTTTATAATTTCTGATCATCCCCTTTAAAGCATTATTTCACCACTATTCTTTAAAAATGTTTTACTGGGCAAATACTGTTTGCATTGTAGGGAAATTGAAATATACTAGTAAGTAAAAAGAAAATAAAAGATCATCTGCAATCCCATTGTTCTGAGATAATCACTTTTAATATTTTGGTAAATATCCTTCCAGACTTAATATATCATTTGGTTTTTTGGTTTTTTTTAAAGATTTTTATTGGGGAATTGGGGGATGTGAACAGCACTGGGGAATTGGGGGAAGGGGAACAGACAAGTTGCTGTCCTTTTGTTCTTCAGTCTAGTTGTGGAGGACGTTGCTTCACTGGCCCAAG